CTTAGATAAATTTTGCATAATGATCATGCTCCTTGTTCTTGAGTGATAGTCACTAAAAATGATGTATTTAAACCCTCCTTTTCATTCTCATTAGACCTTTTGCTTGCCTAGCCAAATGATTGAGATCATGTGCCCATTTGTGAGAATTCACTTTGTGTGTGTGTGTGTGAACTAATGTGAGAGCTGGTTTAAAGACTTGAAAAGTATTGCATCTTGCTTAAAGGCATAAGCGTGTGTTTATAGGCCTAGAAAAGCTAGAGTGTGATAAGAGAGTGTGATCATGCTACTTGGAATGTCTCTTTAGGATGTTAAGTTGAGTTCTTAGATGTGTTTCTTTGGCTATGAGCTCTCACCTTCAAACCTCTTTTCCCATAAGTTCAAGAAAGTTCACTTGAGGACAAGTAAAGAACAAGTTTGGGGGAGTTGATATCTTGCATATTTGCATTGTTTTACCCATTCATCCATGAGCATTTTCATCATATAGATTAGGATTTGGCCATGTCTAGGTTGCATTTTGCATTCATTGTCCTTATTAGGTGTTGTAATGTGCCATGGAGTGGTTTAAGATGTTTAGGAGCATTGTGATCCAAAAGGGGCTGAAAGATGAGCATGTATGGAGCCTTTAAAGAAATCTTCTGTTGCTAAGATTTTGTGGAGACACATATAATTGAGTTAGATTTCTAATGGAAGTGGTTTCAAGTCGTTTGAAGATGTAATGAAGGAGTTATGACCAATTTACCAGAGGCATATCCATCTTGTTCGGGCATCCTGGAGCGGGGTCAGGGGGTCGGCCCAGACCACAGCGGACCCCCGGGGCGGAGTCAGGGGGGCCGCTCGGCTAAGACAACACCCCACAGCGGGGTTGTGGCAGCGGGGTTGTGACCCCGCTGTGCGCTTATGTTTGGACAAAAAATACTTGTTTTGAGGACCTTTTTGTAATTTTGTTTTTTATGTTTTGAGTTGGAAAAAACAAATTTTAAGTACTCTTTGTAGCCTACCAGGCAGATCATCTTTGTTCTTGAAGAGAAAACCATTGAAAAACCTTTGTTTTTACTTTTCTATTTCATCATCTACATGATTAAGCTTGAATCTAACATAGGTTTAAGAGTAATCATGATGATTAGTGAGTAAATCACCTTTTGAATTCATGGGTTAGGGAGATTAAGGGTGATTAGGTTAGTTCTAGGTTGTTTTAGTGTAGATCATATTTGTTCCTTGCTAGTAGAGTATTCGTAATGCATCTTCTGAGTTAACCACTCAAAAGTTGATCAATAGGCATTTCCCACCCAAAAGGTGTTCGATGAAATGCCTGAGACAACTCTCTTAGACTTTTAGTATACTTTGCCAAAGACATTTGTTATTAAAGGTGCTAAGAGAGCTAATAGACTTGTTAGTAATGATTGCTTTCATATTATTCAACCAAAGACATTTGATGTTTGAGATATGTTAGCAAATGAACATTCATCTAGACATAGAGCTTGTTTAGAATTGTGTCTATGCTTAAGGTTGATAGTTTAATTGATCACTTGCAATCCTTAGTTCGAAACTTGATCACCCAAGGTCTAATCCTTATACCCATGAGTTCTCCTTTCTCTTAATCAAAGAAGTTATTTTAATTATCGTTTTTCTTATTCTTAGTTATAGTTCAAAACCATCAATTATTTGATTGCACTTAGATTAAGCTAGTACTTGCATTCTCAGTGCTTTAAAATCCTTCAGAACTGTTTCGACAATCTCTTATACTACACATTTGTCTTAGGAGCCTTGAAAACTCCTAACATCAACGATCGTGCCGAAGGACGTAAGCCTTGAATCGAGGACGTGGGAGGTCGAGGCTCGGGATAATCAGCTCGACGTACGACTAGCTCGCCGTACGGCGAGCTATCCGGATGTGACTAGCTCGCCGTAGGGCGAGTTATCCGTGATGTGACTAGCTCGCCGTACGGCGAGCTAGTTCGGCCGAACCAGCTCGCGATTTACGGCAGATGCGGTTTTTCGCGGTTTTGTGCTTAACTCGGGTGATCGTGTAATCGGCGTTTGTTTCGTTCTTCCGAGATAACGATTTTCAAGTTTTCTGCGGGTTTCCTTTGTTTGGAAACTTCTTAGAACATTATAAAACGACTTCTCGAGTTTTATAAAACGTATTTTTTTTTATTTTTTACAGAATTTCTTGGTCATTAATTCCGTCGTACCGATTTTGACTCCAACATGTACGAGCTCTCTAAACTTGGAAGCACAGGTTTTCACTCTCATGGGATTTGATATGTAACGCACTTTGATGTGTTTGTTCGTTAAAGTCATCTTCTTCTTTTGCTTTAATGGTTTTCCTGAAACCGGAGATGGGTTTCTTTGATCTAAGCTTGTGGTGGTGAGAAACGGCGACGATGATGATGACTCCATGTTGTTGAGAGAATCCTGATGAGTTTGTGTCTTTTGTTTATCTCATTTTAATTAATCTCTTAGCATCATATATATATAACAACATTTTGTTTTTTTTTGTTTCTTTTGCGTTTGAAAAGAGAGTGGAAAATAATGGGAAGGAGAAATGAAACTAGAGAAATTATGAAAGAGTGACTGTATTGGTAGATAAAATCGATATAAATTCAATAATCAAGACTATTGATATCATTAACAATTAAAAACTTTAGCTTTTTTCTTTCATTTTTAAAAAAAAAAAATTAAAGTAATATCTTCGAAATTCGTTTTTATTATCTTAATATATAATATTAATCATGAGAATTTTAATGCATGTCCCAATATTAAAAGAAAAATTACTATCAAATAATTATTTTTGTAAATATTTTTTATTTAGGATTTTAAAAATGAAAAATTACTATTGCATAATATTTCTAACTACTTTTTCAAAAAAAAAAACTCAAATATTGTTTTTGTAAATATTATTTATTTAGGATTTTGAAAATGGAAAATTACGATTACATAATATTTCTAATTTATTTTTAAACAAAATTCATTTTTGTTGTTATCTGAATATATATATATGTACATATATTAATTATGAACTAGTTTAACAAATGTCACAATCATAAATATATAATTGACATGTGTTACAATCTTGTTAATTAGTAACTTTGAAGAACCAAGTTTTATATAATAAGATATATTTCGGGATGAAACATAACATTTTCTATTATGTTCAAAAAAAAACATACCAAATTTTGATAAGTTTGTAAGTATAAGTTAAGCTTGAAACCTAGTGAGTTTAAACCAAAAAGAAAAAAGAAACCTAGTGAGTAAGAATAATAACAGTTTCTTTAATTCTAAATGAGCTCCTAGATCCAACCACTGCTCCTTGTCTACCACAGTAGCATCTCCATAATCGAATCCATACAACTTCTTACCTATACAACAACAACAACAACAACAAAGCACAATTCAATTTTTCAGTAACACAATTTAGTAGATGCTCAAAAATATAGTTCCAAATCAACAATCTGAAACCTCACAAGCTAAAGTTTCAATCTATAAAATCACGTAAAAATAAAAATAAAACTACCATATATTCACAATTTGCTTAACAGAGACAAAGAAAGTTTATATTTTACCTGATGCAGCAACTCTACGTTTGCCAAGCTTGGATCTTTTGAGCTCCATCTGCATATCCATCAACATGTTCATCCTTTGCAACTCAAGCTTCTTTGCAGCTTCCATCCTCTGCTTCTCCAACTTATTCATCATCGCACCTTCGATCCTCACGTACACCTCTCCCAACTTCAAAAACGCTCTCGCCAGCTCCATACACGAAGATCCTTCACCTCCACTCAGATCCACATTCTCCACTCTATGATGCTTCCTCACCACAAACGCCCAATCACCCACCTTATCATCATCATCCTCCAAAGAGCTTCCACATGGGGACGTGCTTCGATGCGGAGAGTGCCGTCGCGTTCGAGACGAAACCTGACCAATGCGGTTAGAGCAAAGTGGAAATCAGGTGAGAGTCATTGCTGGTAGTAAACCATAATAATAATCAGATCTCAAAGAAGGAAATGAGATAATAGGAACATCTCAAACTCCACTCCATAATTTTACTGCAAAATGGAGTAATGAACAAACAAAAAAGTGATTACTTTGTAAATGGAGTAATGAATTTTTTGTTTGTTCACTACTCCATTTTACAGTAAAATTATGGAGTGGGGTTGGAGATGCTCTAAGAGAGAGGGATCCGAGACGAACTGAAGCTGAAGGCGAAACCAGAAGAAGACATGAGCTGTTTGTTAGCCATGATGATCCCAACAGAGCTGATCACATTCCCCGCCCAAGCTCCCTCCTGGAAGTTATAAGAATCACGAAGAGAGGATGAGTTCAAAGGGAGAAATCTTACGCATATTTATATGGAACCCACGCAGCCTCTCAGATTTAATCAGCGCTTAAAGACACATCGTGGAGTAGGGATTTTATGGCACTGAAGACGAAGACATTAATCAGACAGTTTCAGTCATGAGAAGGATCGCAATCGTCCCCGCCTGCAGCCGCACGAAGATGAGAGATGAATGCTGGGTTAGAGAGAGATCGTTCTTTTCATGGGCCGGAAAATATTCCAGTGAAACCCACAATCAACCAATAAGCAAACAAAGCCCACGATGCCATCAATTAAATGAAATGTTGCGCTCAGAAGAAGAGAACACGTGTCGCCTTACGGATGAGTTATTTAGTGACGTGGCAGAGTTGTATAGAAGAAAAAACCTATTTTATATAATAAGATAACACCATCAGTTTTGAAATTGTAATTAATTAATTTAAAATAGTTTTAATACAGTGGTAGAATCTGTAAATAAAAATACAAAAAGAAAGTACTTAAATTATATTGTAAATAAAATGACTAAATATGTAAATAAAAGGAAGTACTAAAAGGGCATTGCTATTCATGTAACAATTCTCATATTTATATTGCTATCTATGTTTCCAAACAGTACCAAAACATAATTCAGCTTTGATGATATAGATTTAAGTCAAGCACACTTTGAAATTAGCATCCAACATATCTTCACTTTTTAGGTTAGAACCGATAATAATATTATCAAAATAATATACGTGATTCACATTCCTGGAGTAAAATGTCAATAAATCTTTGATTGATAAACAAGAAAAAATAAAGATAGCTGCTGCACTTTATTAATAAAAACAAACACTGATAAATCAATTGAAAGTTGAATAGAAAAGGGAGGTGGAATTATTGAAAGTTGTCTCTTAATCATTTTCTTTAGCTAGATCTTCCGCCAAAGACCACTCTTTTGATACCTTCAAGATGAACGTTGACAATGTAATTCTTCCAGTCAATGCATCTTACATCGAACCCAAACATTTTTCTCTCTTCCATTGACATCTCCTGAATCAGACTCCTTGTATTGGTGTCATCAAACCTGTAGTATTAACTATTTAGGTTAGTAATCTGATTCTCTTTCTTTTCTTAGTTAAAGTAGCAAGTACAAGTAATGTTATTTACCAAGCTTGAAAGAATAAGTAAGGCTGATATATTTTTGCTAGGGACTCAAAATACTTTAGCTTCCTCTTGCCCTTCATGGTCAATGTGGTATGTGGCTCTGCTTCTCCTTCTCCATTCTTGGCCTCTCTTTCTTTTTTTACTATAGTGTTGGATACGGAAGAGGTGAAACTTTCTATAGAACTGTGGAATTTTATACAATCTAAGTCTTTAGTTGTTTCTCTCAATGGAGAGTCACGCAGATGTTGTTGAGAGAAGTCCATCAACTCGCCAAGTCGCAAGGGGTTTGGATGAGATGTTGAAGTGACATTGTAAAGTTTGAGCTCTGGTACATTACCACAACCGTGCTTTGCCATGGCTGCTATAGTTGCGTTCACAACCATATCAACAGGTATCATATCCCAGTAAGATTGATAATCTCCCAGCAAGTGAGGGATGTGGTCTTTTCCATAGGCCAAGATTAATGGAGCACTCATCCTATTGTATTTTGATTAATAAATCATCAAATGTCTATTGAAACAAAAGCTACTCCATTCCACAAAAATATATTTTTTTAATATTCACACTAGATTTTGACCCGCGCTTTTAAAGCGCGGGTTTATTATATTTTTTGATAAAATTTATTTGAATTAATAAATTTTATTTTAACACAAAAAATTGTTGTACTAATATTAAAATGTTCTATTATCTTGTTTGATTTTCACGTATTGTGTGTTTTCATATCTGATTTAGACCATAGTTGAACCGGTATATTCAACAATTTTTGTATAGTCCAGTAAGATTTAATGAAATTTTATTAATTAAAATATTGATAAAACTGGTAAATATGCAAAAACCCTCTATTAATCCGAAATATAATATTTGTAGATCTGCTAAAAGTCCCATAAAAACTAATAACATTTAAAAAAATAGTAAATAACACATACTTTTAAACTTAAAGAAAATTGATTTTTTGTAATTTCTTAGAATTTAATGAATTTATTTTTATTTGAAAAATGAAACAATGGTAATAGAAGAAAAATATATATATAACAATATCTGTTTTTCATTATTAATAACCTATGATTACTTTACATTTTTACTTATTAAATATCTAAAAGGTAATTTATTTAAAAAAATTAAATTGGTATATCCATATTATGACATAGTAAATAATAATATTTAATTTTTGATCGCTAAATGATATTATGCATGAAAATAAGATATCAAAATTAAAAGAAAGTATAAATTGCATAAAAATAAATTATTTTTAAACACAAAATCAGAAAATTATTAATTACCATAAATATAGGAGAGATTTAGTTATTTAGTTTAAATAAATAATAATTATATTAAAATTAAATGCTAGTGGCATATCTTTGTAAATAATTCAAAAACTATGGGCAGAATCCTAGGAGGGATTCTGCTTTAATAGTATAGATATTTAAAAATTAAATTTTTATCATAAGAATTTATTTTATGATTATTCATTTTTAATAAAGTTAAACCGATATGACTTAAATAAAAGCAATTAATTTTTAAATTACAATTTACTATTATTAAATGATAAAATCTATATAAATATTTAAAAAAAAATTATCCTTGTAAAACGAATGTAATGTTTCATAGTTTATTGTCTTGGAAAAGGAAAATCCTAACCTGATTCCTTGGAGCCAGCCAGGGAAAGGCTCCTTGTATGAACTTTCGATAATACTCGGCCTTATGATCACTACAGGGAGATCTCCTCTTTGGCTGTGAATTATAGACTCACCCATGGCTTTTGTGAATGTGTAAGTGTTTTCCCATCCATATTGTTGAGCTCTGGTTTATCATAAGATAAAAAATTACGGATATTGGTACGTAAGAATGTCTAGAAAGAAATTAGAGTGTTTCTCACTGATCCTCACCTTTCCATACCAAGTTCTTTCAGTTTTTTTATTTCTTCACTGCCATGGAACATTCTTACAGCTTCTGAAGCTAATTTCAGTTCAAATTCTATGTTCAAGTCAGAAGTTATGTTTCCTCCAATTGAGAGAGTAGTCTCTGGTACTTTATCTTCTTTCTTGCCAGTCACGTAAGCTATTAACAAAGAGACAAAGCAAGTTTGGAAACTTTTCGTAACATAAACTATCTCGCAAAAATATAAACTCTTACCAGTTGAATAATGGAGATAAAGTTTCAGTTTTTTGCAGTCCTTGGCAAATCTCAAGAGCCGACCAGGTCCAAGGGCATTGACATTTAAAGCAAGGTCGTATCTGTTTTCGTTTGCTTGGCTTAGAAGCAAGTGTTTGTTTGCCAAGGAAAACAATAACAGACCAATAGAAAGAATATAAGTACCTGTCGTCAAACGTTGTGCGACCTCCACAGCCAATAATGACATCAATCTCATCACTAATCATGGCTGCTATTTCAGAGTCGAACCCTAGATTTTCTTGTGCAATATCTCCAATTACTGGAATCAACTTGCTCTTCATGAAGTCTTCATAAGAGCTACCGTGGATTTGCTTCAGAAGCTTGAACAGATCCGAGCTTATGATCTGTTGGATACAGAATTAAAGAGACGGAAAGAGTTTGAGTAAATCGACATGATGACATTCAGGGTTGCCCCTCGACAAAGCCTATTGGCTCCAATTTTTATAAAAAAGATTAATATGTAAAGTTTATCGTTCATAATTATACGTTAAGTTTTTCACCAAAATCTTTATGACCCCCTTAATTTAGGGTCTACTCATGATATTGATAACTAACCTCATCATAGAGCCTCTTGTTGGCTGATTCTTGATCATTGGCTTTTATCAAAAGAAAGATCTTCCCAATCTCGGGACTTGCCCTTAACAATTTCTCAATCAGCACTGCAAACAAACAAAAAGAAAAACGAAATAAGTTTACTTGGACTAGAAGAAAAGTCAGCTTTAGGGAAACTACCTTTAGCAAGAAACCCTGTTGCACCAGTAACGAGATAACTTTTCCCTTTTAAGAAACTGATGATTCCAAGTCCATCACTAACACCAGTTGTTTCTGTCTCAAGCATGGTAATATGTGTCATAGGTTTCAACAACGTCTCACCATAACAACAACAAGTTTGGACTTTACGAGAAGTCAGTGACAAACGACGAGCCAATAAGTCGTTAGGTTTGCCAGGGAAAGAGGAGAATAAGTTGACACCATCCACTCTGATGGCATTGCTGGTAGCTAAGAGATTAGTGATTGCCATTTTTAGTAACAAATGAGAAGAAGAAAGGAATGCTTTTTTTTATCGAATGAAAGGAATGCTTTTAGTTTAGTTTTCTTTGAAGCCTTGGAGTGTTCTTGTGTG